CCCATTGTATTTGTTAGCATTCGCCAGATTGCTCATAGAAAAACGAAGTGAAAAGTTATTTAATATAAGCCCCAAGAAGAATATGTTTGATTGGGCAAGCCCCCTCCCCAAAAAAATTACACATGTTGCGTTAATGTAGAAAACTTTTTAGCGAATACACACATAAGATACACAAATATACATAGTAATAGATGATGATCCTTAAAACGCTGCGGTTGCCTTCCTACGAGCATTAAACTAAGTTGATTCACAGGTGACACTGATTGTATTGCCCCGTACTGCCCTGAGAACAATCTTTTGATCCCTTTGGTATCATTTTACATTCAACTATTTATGCTTAGTTAAGGTGAAACTCTGTGTTAAGCCTAAATACCTGATTGGCTTGGTTGGGAGTCTTTCTAGTTTCAAATCGTATAATCTGTCTGCGCTAGACTTTACACTTAGATCTAAGAGAACGGACCTTTGCGGAAATCCCAGTTGAGATTCCGATTAATTGTACGCTAGAGTTTGTAAGACTTTCTATGGCAATTGAGGGCAGGATGAAGCGATCAAGTTGTAGTCGTTATGTTTATGGCATTTAAGCGTTACATAATTAAAAGAGTTTACATAACCATTTACAACTTATGACCCTTTTACTTACAAGTAAGTACTTAATACAAAGGCAACAATACCGACAAACACGATTCCAAAAATGTTGATGAACTCAATAAATTGGCTCAATACAAGTTGCTAAGTTAAAATTATGTTATAAATTGTGAACAGCAGTGAATCAATAAAATAAAGCAAACTTCACATCTATTGACAACATTTGCAACTACCGTGTCCACCTATTTTTCTAAAACCCATGAGGGTTTTGGTACAACAGTCTGTGGGGAAATACTTTGATTGGGTTTTTCGCTACACTTCCGCTTCCGTTTCGGCTTGTGTTTGCCCATTGAGTTGGTTCAGCTTAAGTTCCTCGACCGGTTGCTTGGACACATCGTCATCGTTCCGGCGCCAACAATCGAATGACAGCATGGGCTCACCCTTGCCAAAGGCCTCGCCATCGGCCAAAGTGATGGGCAGTTGCCTGTGAAGGACGAAAAGGTATATGTATAATTTACAAACAAGAATGTAACATTAAAAATGTAATAATATGTATGCTTATATATTTAAAATCAATTGTATTATGTTAATTTTCCAATTATTTACCTATGTCTTAGGTTTTTCGTCTATGTTAATAAACAAGAAAGTTTTGTTGATTTATTTATTATTTTCCTATTCATCTTTAATCTTTCCAATGACAGCTACATATATTAAACATATGAACAAAATTTTGAAAAATGTATATTTTGGTTTTGAAGTTTATTTGTATATATTAAATGACAACGGAGTATTAACATTTTTGATTTACTATTTCGATTGTTCCTATGACTGCTATATGATATAGTACATGCTTATATATTCCCTGCAATTGGTAAAGTTTTATACATATAGATTTACAAGATAGTAAGGGACAAGTTTGCGAAGAAACGGATGGACGGACAAGGCTAGATCGACTGCTCATTTCATTTTCAATTAATCAAATGCTATCTTCTGTCTAATGAGGCATCCGAAAACAAATCTCTGATTTAACCCCCAAAGTTTGGAGTGACTTTTTGGCCTTCTTTCAATTCCCTTCGACACTCACCTGTTATTCGTTTCCGGCAGCATGAGCGTGCAAACGGCCGCAGACAAGAGGAGCAGGGTCAGGATGAGGGACGGAGCGGCCGGCAGCATTGTGCCCAGGTGAATGAGGTAGGGCGACACAAAGGAGGCTCCCGCTGCGGCCAGATGCACCGCAGCAATTCCCCGCGAGCGTACACAGGTGGGCAGCAGTTCAGAGGCGAACTGCGAGGTGACCGTGTAGCACATCGAGATGCCCAACCGCATGGGCAGGGCGAAGGCCAGCAGCAGGGTCACGTTGCCCTGGGCCCCATCCATGGAGAGCGCCACTCCCAGGGCGCAGGACAGCAGTCCGGTGCAGAGCATGGCCAAAAAGGCAGTGGTCTTGCGACCCACTTTGCTCTGCAGCAGCCCCTGAATGAATCCGGATGGAGGGACAACCACAGCAAACAGCGAAAAGACCACAAAGGGTGACAGACCCAAGCCCTCCACATTTCGAGAAATCGTGTTGAAACTCAGCGAAGTCAGCATGCTAAAAATTAGAAAAGAAATGGAGGGAAATTAATTTTGTGGTACATAGGTAATAGCACAGCTTAAAGTATCTTTCTCAATTACTGTTAAAACTTTGACATAATTATATATAAACGTTATCTGTCTTTTTTTAAATATCCGTAGGAGAAAAATAAATAAATTAATAAAAAAGTAAGCTTTTTGCATTATATTTAATATTATTTAAATCGATTATTTATAGCAAATTTAAGGAAACTACTGCTATTATTTTATTTATAAACAATTTAATTTAACATAAAATCGAATTATTCTTTCGTTTTTTTTTAAATTAAATTTTATATAATAAATTCAAACAGTTTTGACATACTTTGTCTAAAACGTTTGTTGAAATATATATATATATATTTATTTAGCATATATATATATATTTATTTTTCAGAAATAAACATGTCGTTCTTTATATTTAAGATCCCAGAGACTAAAAAAAAATGTAACTAAAAGCGTTATATTTTTGTCTGCAATACTCACAATGTAATCACCACCAGCAACGATATCTTGCGTAGATTCGGAGTCTTCATAAGATCAAAAATGCCCGCAGTTTGCTCCGGTTGATTTGACATCTTCCTTTTAACAATGCAGTTCCTTCGGAAGGCCTCGAAGTCGGCAGCCTTCACTTCCTTTCCATTAAAGTGGGCTATGTGCTTCAGCCTGGCGATGGCCCCCTCCACATTGGTCCTAGTGATTAGCCATTGAGCGCTCTCCTGCACCACAAAATAAAATAGAGCAACGACCAGTTGGAGCAGCGCCGAACAGGTCAGGTAGATCCTCCAGTTCCCGGCCAGCACCGAAAGCCAGGGGGCCACCAAAGCACCCAGGCAAAAGCATATTCCAAGGGTTCCACTTATCGCCATGTTCCTCAGTTTGGGCGCCAAGTATTCCAGAACTGCAAAATTCAATACCAAAAACCTAATGTTTATTTCTTGTTGCTAGAAAATGTTATTAAGTTATTACAAATTCAGTTTACTTTATGGCAATATATTTAAAAAAATTTTAATATTTTATTTTATTTTATACGTGATCTCAAAATTACCCAAGTTAACACGTTCGCATTGATATGGCCTCAAAAAGCAGAGTCGTTATAATATAAAAATAAAACTTTTGTGTCTGTTTAAACGCTAAAATCAAGTGTGCATATTAGACCAAAATATGGGCATTAATTGGGCTTGACTCAGTCGTTAAACCAACTTAAGAGTTTAATGCCTGATATACTCTAATAATCCAAGAAGATATTTAGACAGTAGACAGTAATGTCAACTGAGAAATCATGGCAGTTATTAGGAGTAGACACTGTTGTTGGCTCTGAACTGTATATATGCAAAAGCTTTTCCCACATCTACACTCATTCTCGAGATATCGCCATGCTTACCCAGAATAAACATCAGATAATAATTTGCCGTGGCAGCGAGACCAGAAATGCACCGAAAAATGGCGAACTGCACCAAGTTGGCGGCGTAGGTGGTGAGAAAGTCGCCAACGAATCCGCACTGATTGGCCAGGATCACGGCCCTCACCCTGCCGACCTTATCACCCAGCATGCCGAAGGTGAAGGTTCCCACCAGGGAACCGAGGAAAAACAGGGATTGTCCGATTCGCGCCTTGTAGGCATCATCGCACACCCAGTTTAGCTGCTCAATGAGAGGAGATGGGAGATGGGAATACTTTGAGGTGGAACGCTTCTTTCACCTTCATAGTCTCACCTCCGCATTCATGCTCCTGAAGCCGAAGTCATAGTTGTATATCCAGCGCTGGCAGGTCTCATTGCTCACCGTCACACGGTCACCCTCGATCTTGTCCAGTCGGGTGCAGGAGGCCTCCTTGCCAAACGGGGCGTACACGGCGGCAATCTCCTCGAAACTACGATTCGCCAGAGCCTCATGATAGCACCAGTGCTGGGGCACAAACCCAATTATGTTCTGCGAGTAATAGTGGACGGTGGTCGTGAAGGCTATGTAGCCGAGCAGCAGAATCATCAGGTACTGATAGCGACCCGCACTGCCGCACTTCTCCAAGATCTGGTCGAAATCCATGGTGACGTGCTCTCGCTGAGATTCTATTTAGACTAAACCAAAACCAAACGATCCGATCTAAACCGAGCCGAGCCGAGGCGAGACAAAAGAGTGCACGGTGGCCGCCGGATTCGCACGTTGAGTCGCCGTCCGTATCCGATAAGATTGTTTTGGGGGGGCGTCTTATCGCCTATATGGCGGGTCTCTCAAACGCGGACGCTTTATTGCTTAAGTGAATTCACTCATTCACTCCAATCTAAACAAACGCCGGCGTCTCACGAGAAGGAAAGCCTTCTCCATAGATAAACACTCGGCGTGACCTCTGAAATGTGAATCAAACGCAGAGCACAGTACAACAATGCAGTTGAATGGACTCTTAATAAAGCAAAAACATCAAAGTGTCGCCCCTCCCCAAGTGTAATATACTTGTATATATAAGGTCAAGAGAGCGCTTAGATAAAAGCAATTATGACAGCCTAGATTCGCCAGCATGAGCCTTCTAATACTCTCGCCTATAATTTGTTTACATGGGGTAAAAAGTTTCCTATAATTTTTCTTTTCATGATATCTTTGTTGAACAGAAAGTTCGGTAGGAATATTTCAAGATCAACGAAAAATAGTATTACATTATAAATTTATTTTTTCTGCCTTCATTGCTCAACGCAGAGCTTGTAAGCATAAAATTGCCGAGAATGTTTTTACGATTAGGTATTTATTTTATTTTTATTAGTTTACTTTTTAAAAATGTTCACAAAATATTTAAAAATATATAACATAAGGGACCATGAACATGACAAAAAGTTATTAAATGATGCCAAATCTTTTCTTGTCGAATGAACAATACAATATCAGTAATTACCACAGTCTTTATTGCCATTCGTACTGTCAACTTATTTTTTATCTTGTAGCTCATAATGTAGTTAAACAAGTCTTGTTTGTCTAGAATCGTTGAACCCCCTAGATATATATGTTTCTGGCTGATTATTGGATTTCGTCAAGCCCTTATAAATAGTATATTTTTAGCCCTGAATTGCTTATACTAATTATTAATGTATAAAAATTATAAAAACTTTGCGTGTAAAATAAAGCGTATAACAAAACAATTTTAACTACAACAAATTCAACACAACAATTTTGTATGTCAGCTTTTTGCTCAAAATCAATTTCAGCAAATGTAATTAAATGCAGTTTTCTGAAATACAGGTCGTTACAGTTCTAATTAAGTCCAATCTTAGCACGTTCATGGTAAGTATATTTATTCCGCCATAAGTTTCTCGTTAGTGCCAGCGCTGAGATCATGTTGATCTTCCTTTTGGGACCTTCTCAGGAAGTCAAACATCCGCTCGTCCTTGCCGAACTCCTCGCCCTCCGCCAGGCTCATGGGCAGCTTCTTATTTCGCGTCTCTGGGAGGAGCAGACATATCCAGGCGCTCAGCAGGAGCAGCAGGCAGAGGATGATCGAGGACGCTGCCCGGAAATAGGTGTCCAGGTGCAGAATGAAGGGCGACAGGAAGGAGAAGGCTGCACCCGTGACGTGGATCACGGCAAGACCACTGGATCGCACGCAGGTGGGAATCAGCTCGGCCGATATTTGCATCGTGGACCCGGTGATCACGGAGATCCCAAATCGGGACACCAGCAGCAGGCACACCATCACCATGGCACTAGGCTGCGTCCAAAGGGTCAGCAAAATGCCCGTGGCCGCGGTCATCGCGCCCGTCGCTGTCATACTGACCACCGAGGTAAACTTACGACCCAAGTTCTTCTGGACTTGGGTCTGGAAAATGCCCGAAGGTGGCAGGGTGAGGGCGAAAAGGGTGAACATCACGAACGGCGATATGCTCAGGCCTTCCACGTTACGGGACATCGTGTTATAGCAGAGCACCGTTATCGAACTGCAAGGAAGGTTATTAATAATTAACAGCCATGATTCAAATATCAACAATTATTTTAATTAACTCTTTAATAAATTAATCTATTAATTTAATTTAATAAGGAAGCACATTAATAGAGATGGAACTTCCGAAAGCGTCAAAAGTTTTAAAATTTAAAATAGCGACCGCAAACAAAATTGTATAATTAGATTTTAAAAAAATCCCAATTAAATAGTTATTCTTTGAGTATTTATTAAATGTTCACAAAATAATAAGAAAATTTGATTAATTATATTTTTGATAAAAGAATGTTACTCAAATACGGATAATATTGTTGTGAACCATTCTTAAAAGAGATTTCGATTTAATGTTGTTGTTTTTTTTTTTAACTTTTAAAAAAATTGTAATTTCAAATTGCTTTTTTTGGGTTAAGAAATACTCAAGGAATAATAAATAAATTATGATTACGATTGGACCCAGTGACAATAGACATTGATTAATGTGAAAGATAACCAGAAAGGAAGCAATCTTCGGCAGGACAAGGTTTATAAGCCCTTGCATCTATTGCAATAAATGATCTTTTGATTCGTATGCATATAAGGCAGTCAAGCTCAGATATATTTTAATTCTGAAATATCTAAAAAATAATTGAAAAACAGCAAACAGCGATTGTTTAAATCGGAGCTATTTGACATAAGCGTCCAACACGGCTCGATTCAACTTATATACTACCTGCAATAAAAAGACAACTTAAAACTAAAACGGATGGAAGGACGGACATGACTACATCGACTCTCTAGTTTTGCCGATTAAAAGGGTCAGACAATACTGAAATTATAATACCCTCAGCAAAAAATTACCACTAAAATACGAAAACAATTTTAATATAAAGAAATTTTTTAGCCCTAGTAATTCGATAATTTTTGTAGTATTTCTAGTAAACTAATATTTAAAAAATGTAAATCATTAGATACCAGAATACTACAATTACATTTTTGTTGCTTTACTTACAAGACAACCAGCACGTATATCAGTCTAAGGCGCAGCCTCGGGAACTTGGTGGCGTCGATGAGCCGAGACTGCTTCTGCATGGAGACCCGGCTGCTGGCCTCTGACTCCTTGGTCTTGCAGTGCTGGCGGAACAGCTCGAAGTCCGCCTCGCTGACCTCCCGCCGGTTGAACCTTGCCACCCGCCGTAGCCTCAACTCGGCGCCATCGATGTCGTGGCGCGTGACCAGCCACTGGGCGCTCTCCTGAACAAGGAAATAGAACCCCGTGACTAGTAATTGGGGCAGGGCGGACCAGGCCATGAAGGGGCGCCAGCCGCCCAGCCAGACGGCCTGCCAGGACGCACTTATCATGCCCAGACAGTAGAAGACGGACATGGTGAGGTTCAGGCCCACACTACGCATCGTTGGCGAGACGTACTCCAGCACTGTTGTAGAAGTTATGAATGTTAAGACTAGATAAGTGCCAGAGCTGTAAAATGATAACAAACCCAGTATATACATGAGGTAGGCGTTGGCCTCAGCAGCCAGGCCAGATACGAACCGGCTGGCCGAGAAAGTCACTAGGCTCTGGGCGAAGATGGTGGCCGCGTCGCCCAGGAAGCCGCACCAGTTGGCCAAAACCACGGCTCTGATGCGTCCGATTCGGTCGCCGAGCAATCCAAAGAGTAGAGTGCCACACATGGAGCCCACAAAGAACAGGGACTGACCCACTCGCGCCTTGTACGCCTCATCGCACACCCAGTTCAGCTGCGGGGAGAGAAAATACTCTTTACAGACTGATACTCTTAAGTGGCGCCCGTCGAGGGACTCACATCGGCGTTCATGCTCCTGAATCCATGATCGTCGTTATAGATCCAGCGATTGCAGGGCTGGTCGCTGGCAGTGGCATTGCTCCCATCCGCGTTGATTGATTCCAGTCGCGTGCACGAAGGTCTCTTGAACGGAGCATAAATTGCAGCGATTTCGGCATAGCTTCGATTCACCAGCTGTTCGTGATAGCACCAGTGATCGGGCACAAAGCTGATGACGCTCTGGGCGAAATACTGGCGGGAAACGATGAACATGAGCAGTCCGTAGAGAGCCAACAGCATGTACTGGTAGCGATGGCAGTCGCCGCACTTGCCCAGTATCTCCTCAAAGTCCATGGCCATGTCCGGGGATGCACATCTACGGCACCGAAAATGTCCGAGTTCGGCGGTCCGCTCTCTTCTGCTGCCACGCACATACTACCAGTGCCTGTGCCAGTCCGCTCCGCCAATCGGTCCGCTCTACCATCGCCATCGACATCGTCAACGCCACCGCCACACCGTCGTCGAATAGTTAAGAGCGGATTGTGAAAGCGGCTGCGGTAAACTGATGTTGGAGTTGAATAGTTGGGACTACTCTTGCGCCTCTCCGCAGCTGATAATAACCCGCCTCAGTTTGCTCAACGAAATGCCCGATTCGATCATAACTTTAACGTTCTGATTTAATTATTATGGTTGATAAGCGGCTTTGTTATGCCCATATCATCGCTGTAATCGCCAATCTACTATTCAAAATATACAACTATGTTATTGCTAATTTATACAGTCAGTTTGTGGTGTTACCATTTTGTTTATGCTAAAATAAATACAAATTGTGAGAAATTTATTCAACTACTACTTGTTATATGATTTTCGGATGGCCATTCTTTCCTTTATCTGGTATCTATTCTAATAAATGTCGAATAAGTTAAAGTAAAGTATTAACATATATAAGATCTCGTTGTCAGGCAATAGAATGTAAGATACCAAAATATAAACAGAATACAATTTGTGCCTAGTGCAATGAATTACAACATAATGATAGCCCAAACCAGGGCTTTCCTATGGCTGAACAGCTTTAGTCATCAGTGTGTCCTCTTCCAAAGGCTTGGTACTCATCTCGACTTCGACTTCGACTTCGGATCTTTCTCCCTTTCTCATATTGGTAATGAAATCAAATATGCCCTCCCCACGGCCGAACTCCTCTCCTTCGGCCAGGGACATGGGTAGTTTCCTATTGCGAGTTTCTGGCAGTAGCAGGCACACGTAAGCTCCAGATAGGAAAAGAAGCCCCAGAATAATCGAGGGGGCTGGCTTGAAGTACGTGCCCAGGTGCAGGATGTAGGGCGAGATGAAGGAGGCGGCAAATCCGGCCACATGCACCACGGCCACGCCCCTGCCACGCACGCTTGTCGGTATTAGCTCCGTGGAGAACTGCGAACTGGCCCCGTCGGCGATGGAAACTCCAAATCTGGCTGCCAAGGTCAGACCCACCAGTAGCAACACGTTCCGATTGCTTCCCTGCGATATCACCAGTCCAGCAGCAGCGGCAAACAGTCCCGTGATGGCCATCCAACTGACAGCGGTGGCCTTGCGCCCGATTCGATCTTGGAGGAGGCCCTGCAGGTATCCCGAGGGGGGCAAGGTCAGGGCGTTCAGCGAGAACATGATGAAGGGCGATATGCCAAGGCCTTCCACGTTCCGAGCGATCGTGTTGTAGCAGGGTGTGATAATAATACTGCGGGAGAAATGCATTTGAAATTATTAATCGGAACATTTGTGTTTTATAGATAATATTCATAAATTTAATTTAAAATATCTGTCAATTACAAAAACGATGATAGTTTAAAGCCTCAAAATATAATCTTAGTTTACAAACAAAAATTATTTGAAATAAATTATAATTGGATTGAAAAATTGTATGTGAAAACCAAAAATAATTAAATTATTTTTATCAGTATAACGTCACTATAAGCGCTTGATTTTAGTATTACAAAATACCAGACATGTCAAATACTCCATACAATTAAAAGTTAAAAAAAAGTTTATAATACAAATTAAAAACAAATGTTTTAATATTAATTTTTTTTATAAATGAAAAATCTAAATAAATTAATGCAAATAATTTTAAATAAAATAGTTTAAATCATTTTCAAAAACTAGGAAAAAATATATAAAATTGTAGATAAATCTGTCACCAGATTTAATTACAGAAAAACAAACGTGTATCTTCGATAGTCTAAATTGATTTAATTGTATTAAAACTATTTGCTTGGAAAATAAAAATACAGTTAAACATTTTCTAATCGGGAAAACAAATAATATTCCTATTCTAATATTGCAAACTTTTTTTCTATTTAAAGTCTAAAGCCAGTTTAAGTACTTACAAAATGAGCAGCAGTTTAAAAGCCGTGCTGCGCATGCGCGGCGTTTTGAGCATGTCCAGAAGCTTCACCTCACTTTTCTCCGCCTCCTTGGCCTCCTTTCGGTAGTGCTGCTCACAGTAGCTCCGAAAAGTCCTGAAATCATCGTCGGCCACCTGGCGACGATTGATCTTGGCAACGCGCTGCAGACGCCTGATGGCTCCATCAATATCGTTGCGAGTGACCAGCCACTGGGCGCTCTCCTGAACGAGGAAGTAGAACAGAGTAACCAGCAGTAGAGGAACCGAGGAGCAGGCCAGGAAAATGCGCCAGTGGCCAACCCAAACGGCCAACCACGAGGCTCCAATCAGGCCAAGACAGTAAAAGCTGCCCAAAACCGTATTGAGTCCCACATTTCTCAGCGAAGGCGATACATATTCGAGAACTGCCCAATTGAAACAAAAATAAATTAGTAAATTAAAACCAATCTAAACCAGTACTTACTCAGAATATACATGAGATAAGAGTTGGCATCGGCCGCCAATCCAGATATGAAACGGCTAACTGAAAATGAAACCAGACTGCTGGCAAATATGGTCGAGAAATCGCCCAGGAAGCCACACCAATTGGCCAAAATCAAGGCCTTTATCCGTCCGATCCGATCTCCCAGCAGGCCAAAGACTAGAGTTCCGCATACCGAACCCACAAAGAAAAGGGATTGGCCCACACGTGCCTTGTAAGCCTCATCGCAGACCCAGTTTAGCTGAAAGTGTATTTGAAGCAAATTTACTGCAAAATTTGGTTACAAAAATTTAAAGAATATTCCCTCTTACAAAAAAAGTGTTAATTTTTTTTTTTTAATTTAAAAATATGTTTCGGGGTGACACAAAAATTAGTTTGTTTGAAATTCGGGTGAATTTGTTATCATATGTACATTCTTATCGAAGACATTTCTGTGTCACCCCTAATAGACTACATTATTTTAAAGGAAAGATTGGTTTACTACTTAACAACGTTAAGCTTCAGCATTGTGAGTGCTTTCAGCTAAATGAGCTAGTTATGCAGTTAAAATACATGAAGTTATCTGTTTGTATTACTTTACTTTAAACTTCTACTTACCCCTCAAACGACTTCATGCCTCATTAAAAAGATTTCTAACCCGTTAATATTTTTAAGTCCATAAAAAATAACTATAAACTGTTTTAAATGTCGTCCCGATTGTATATAAATTTTTAAATGTGGTCTAATTATTCCCGAAAGAATTGTTTAATTGAAAAACTAAGTGAACTTACCTCCGTATTCATACTTTTGTATCCAAAGTCATACTTGTAGATCCACCGATTACAGCGCTCTGTGCTCAATGTGTGATTCAGCCCATCCTCATCGATCTTCTCCAGTCGCGTGCACGAGGGCTTCTCGAATTGCGAATATATCGCCTCGATCTCGGCGAAGCTCCGATTCTCCAGCTGCTCGTGATAGCACCAGTGATCGGGCACAAAACTGATGACGTTCTGCGAGAAGTAGTGCATTGATACGACGACCATGAGGTAGCCATACAACGCCAGCAGCAGAAACTGATAACGACTACTGTGGCCGCACTTGGCCAGAATCTCCTCGAAATCCATCTTGCTGATAGCTGATTTCGGCGGCCCCCAACTTTACCGGCGTTCGCAGGGTTGTGATAGGCGCATATCTGAGGGCTCTGGCATTTATGGGGAGGAGGTCCGAGAGTCGGCTAATCGCCAGCTGGTTCACAAAAATCGGTTTATTAGTCCCGACCCGAATGCTTTTCGAGGCTCTGAGTTTATTGAACGCAGCCGAAACCCGTTCCGCATATGTTCTGCTGGCACGGAGCGCACATAGCCAACTGGTTAGGTCTGAGACCCATTTTCGAGTACCGAGTGCTCCACTGCGAAGCTCTACAAGAGAGACCCTGCCTTGCTGCGACTCTTTCGCGCTCTTATCCAATTATGTGGCATTTGAAAAATGCTACTTGAACACGTTCGAGAGAGGAAAGCGTTTTGAAAATTTGCACTTCATTTACAAAATTTGAATTTCAATTAACTTCAATTTCTGCCACTTGGCGTCCATTTAAAATCAGCCGTGCGTTAACTTTGATTGATTGATAAAAAAGATTATAAAGAAAGTGTTTATTTTATTTTAGATTTTTACCAGAATGTGTTTATTGGCATAATACATTTTACGAGGTTTAAAAAACCCAAGAACTCATTAATTTTATTTAAGATATAAGGCATTAAAAACTTACCCAAACATTTAAAAAACATATAGTTAAAAACGCTTTATAAGTACGTATTTTTTATTGCTTTTATTTTAGATTTTTTTTTTCATTTTTATGTGTTTATCAATTACATTTGCTGTTTAAATGGATACATGTCTACATTTGCTGCCTTTTGAATATATTATTTATTAGCTTTAATATGAATCATAATTGTTGGTTTCCCTCACTTCTATGTCTGTTGGATTTATAAATGTAGTAAACGCAGTTTCGTGATAACATGATAGATAGACCCTATTACATTTGCTTCTGACTTAAATAGAATACATACATAATTATATAGTATCTCAAACTGTACATACATACATTAGATGCAATGTGTTAACTAAATTTGATTAACAACTAAACTACTTAGCCGTCCTAGTACGAGTAAATTAATTGTAGTTTTGAGTAAATAGGCAATGGTGCAGGATAACTAACTTAAGACTCTTACAAAGATGCACGCATTCAACTCGATACACTCTAAATAATACATACAAAGTAGTGGGTAAGGCATACTAAAGGTATGCTACTAATAAATAGTCGAAGAAACCATCATGCGTATAGACTAAAGCCCTGAATGGTTAACGGGGGAAAACAAACATTACGATCAATCCAATTCAGTCACAATTCATTTCAATTACAATCGTTCATTGCAGGGCCCTTGGATACGTTTAAATCAGCATTACATACTTCACATAACACTATACTACAGCTACCATACACATATCCCTCCTTTTTCCTTCTATAATTCCAAACAAGGCGTGAAAGAGGGGGGTTTGAAAACAAAGACTAGTTTAGATATGATAATTGAAAGTTAAACACCTGCCACCTCAAACACACTCAATGCTGTCATAGAAGATCTCTTCATCTGGCCCTGGGTCCGATAGCTCCTCCTCAAAATCATCAACGTCGTAGGAAATCAGGGACTGCAGACTGACATCCAGCAGCTTG